TTAGTCAGGTTGTGTTTTTGTCCGCTTCTCATGCATACCCTCCTATCAGCTGACCAGTCGTTGACCTGTGCAACCAGTGGCACCAGAATGAACCCCATTTAGAAACATTGCCAAGTTCACAGTGGCTGAGCGTTCATCAGATAACGACCTTGGCAGAGCTATGGGGTCCTGCATTGGACACAAATAGGCTAGGCTGTGTGTGTCCCATTAATTTTCTGCCACATAACTTCATCCTATTCTTTTCTTGTCAATGGGAGCAGTCAGGTGGAGGGTGGAAATGTTTGGTGATCTTAACGGGGACCTCAGTGCTGTACTTAGAAGAGACCTGAATATGGTGAACTCTCTATCTCATTTGGAATGAGGTCAAGATAAGATGGCAGACATATTTTAAGATAAATACATTTTGTTGTGGTTTCCAAAGCTGATTGTGGGTCAATTTTGGGTTATCTAGATGGTAATGTTTTTTTTTATATACAACTCCAACAAAGATCAGTCAGGTCATCTGGACGGCTTCTGTATTTGTTGAGATGTTTTGTCCTTCATCCAAAGGACTTCATCAATTGTCTCAACAAAAACATAAACCGTCCAGATGAACTTCCTCAACTTTTTAGATTTTTTTTACCTGGATTATTGAGCATGAACTTTGACGTTTTAAACCACTTTGGCTGTGGTTGCCCCAGAGGAGTTTATACATGCCTCAGGTAAGTTAATATATATCACACACACACACACACACACACACACACACACACACACACACACACACACACACACACACACACACACACACACACACACACACACACACACACACACACACACACACACACACACACACACACACAGACACACACACACACACACACAGTTTTAATTGTAATGTCTATTACTGTGATTTATGTGAAAAGTAAATCCTGCACTTTTACTGTGTTGTGGAGAGAAAGCACTGTCCGTGGTACTTAAACTTGATTGACAGGCATCATGCTCATTTTTTCCTCTTTTTCATCTTGCATGTTCTTGTGATGGTAACAATGTTTATGATTTAATCAAGTGATAGTAGAGAGGACAGTTGGCAGCATGCATCTTACATGATAAAAGTGCAGTTATTGAGTTTGATATGTGGAAAATGTTGTTAATTAGTGCAATAGTATGACTGCACTTTAACACTGTTGTCCAGTTAAAAGGTGAAAGGAAAACGTTCAAGTACATAAAAACAATATTTATGTTGCAATATTTGTTACAACTATTGTGTTGTTGCTTACAGTCTTAGCAGCCCTGTCACTTCTTCACATGAAACCTTGCACATTTCCCCAGTCTAACAGAGGTCATACTGGTGATGCAGAGATTGCCTGAACACGCAGCACTTCTCAGGAACCTGGACCAGGAGTTGAGATCTGCTTTGAGGACTTTTGGAAAAGTGGAGGTGACATGGAGCTGTTTTCCCAGCCCTTCAACATTAGTGTGGACTCAGTGTCTGATCACATTTAGATGGAGTTCATTGAGTTTCAGTGTAATTCTGAGTTCAGGAATAAAGTCATGTCACTACACCTCAAATATTTCTACAGACATGTCTCATCAGAAAGGTACCCAGGCATTAGGAAACATGCACAGATGATGTTATCATTGTTTGGTAGTGCTTAGCTCTTAGTTCATATCTTAGATGTTGTTACTTTTTTCTTATACATTTTATTGTTGGATGTAACTGGGACCCTGTGTACATAATTTCGCTCCACCACATGTACCACATGAGGTGCGAATGACATTAAAGAAACTCTGACTCTGACTCTTATCTGGGAACATAGCTTTAGTAAAATGTACCTGAACAAGTCCAGGCTCAGGAGCACTCTGACCCAAGTTAGCAGACTGAGAAGGATGACAGAGTCAGTCGTTCAAAAGTAAGCAATCTTTATTTACAGGTGCAGCGTCAACTTCGGCGCTTGAAGGGAAACAAGGACAAGGAGCATATCTACTGTAGATTCACTCAAATATATTGCAGCAATGGTTTTCATACATTAAATTATTTCCTACTGTTGTATTTGTAGAAGAAGCCGATGAGTGGGAAGGAGATGAGGTCCTGGGCTTTCAAGGATGGAGCTGGGGATCCAAGCAGAGGTGAAAAACGGTGGAGATAGGAGCAGGTTGAGTCATGCTGCAATGTTTGTGGTTTGGTAGTTGAAGGGACAATATCAATCCTCAATACACTGATAAAACCATAAGTCCTGAAAGATAAAGACCACGGTGGAAAAAGTTTAAGGTTATCGTGATGAAGCAATGTGGATCCAATGTAGGCAGTCTCTCAGCAGTGATATGGTCTCAACTTGTGGGTGCGTTGAAAGTTAGCGGCTCGCTAGCCCCACCTCAAGGTAGCACCATGTAGCTGACTCCCTCCGCTTTCAAAACAAATAGAATATAACAAAAATCAACGGGGGCAGAAAAAACAAATGAAGAAAACCCTGTTTAAAACCACTCGCCTGATTTCAGCTTAATGTGAGTTCAATCCGAGTCGATCCAAACTAATCTGATTAGCTTAGCTTAGCACTGCATAGTCTCATAGAACTACGCAACAGTAATTCACACTATTTCAAAACACCTAAAAAATAAAGCACAAAACAAGAACCAGCGAGGAAGTACTACAACAATTTCAAGAAACAGTAACTCTGTTTGAAACATGGGTGACTTGCCTGATTGATGATCTTAGCTTTGTGCATGTTAGCAGTTAGCACAGCACCATCGGGTCACGTAGCTCAAAGAAAACACCTAAAATAAAGCATAAAACCAACAATCGACCAGCATATGAAACTAGCAAACAGTTTAAAGAACAGAAGGAAACAGTTCATAGTAAGTGAATCGTATAAAGTGTTACAGTTGTTAATTTCTCTCCGAATACAGCAGAGTATAAGCGACCTCTCCACAAGAAATTGGAATTCCCACTTTCACCAACTTTCCATCTGCACAAACAAGTACATTTTAACAGTTTTAAGTTTACTTACAGTGCAAGAAGTTAACGATCTGCCGAAAGAGACGTCTCGCTGTCATTGCAACCAACTCCGAATGACGCCGTAACCGAAGAATGGTTTAAAAAGAGAGCGTCCGATGTGCATATCCGCTTAGAGGGCATATCTAAATTACGCTCGCAGTTTAAAATGAGCCCCTACGATGTGCAGATCTGGTTAATGGGCACAACAGGTTCTCTGTTTGACAAGGTTTGCTTCGATTACAGGTGCATCACTCTCCTTAGCCTCCCTGGTAAGGTCCATTCAGGGGTACTGGAGAAGCGAGTCCGATCGTTGGTCAAAACTCAGATCCAGGAGAAACAATGCGGGTTCAGTCCTGGCCATAGAACACTAGACCAGCATAAAACAGGGTGGAGGCCTCCGGGTTCAACTGTCCCCCTCTTACAATGCTGTGATTGCTAGTATCACTCAACCCCCTGTGAATAGTAAACAGCCATCAGTGTGCTAATGATCCATTGTTAGGCTGATGGTCCTTCTTGATCATGTGAGCAGCTGGTTTTGGTTGTAAGCAGCAAACTGGTTGATCCACTCTGAGAAGGTGCTATTTAAGAGACTGAGCTGAATACAGCACCTCAGACTGAAGAAGTCTCTCGGATGAGAGAAGAAACGTTTCTACTTTTTTTTTGCTTTGTTTTTTTTTTTTTGTTTTCTTGTTTTTTGAATGTCCAGAGGACCAGATTGAACTTTTTTGGACTAGACCAGCACTTTACCCTCACTAGGGTCCTTGAAGGGTCATGGAAGTTGGCTCATCCAGTCTATATGTGTTTTGTGGACTTGGAGAACGTATTCGACTGTGTTCCTTGGGTTACACTGTGGGGGGGTGCTCCGCGAGTATGGGATTGGGGGCCCATTGTTCCGGCTGTTCAGTCCCTGTACAAGTAGTGCAAGAGTTTGGTTTTCATTGTCATTGGTAAGTCTGACCCCTTCAGGTAGGGAGTTGGACTCCTCCAGGACTGCCCGTAAAAAATTTTGTCAGTGGAAATTTATAGTTTCACTCGGATGAATAATGTGGCTTTAAACTATCTTCAGACATTAATGAGAAATTAAAAATATATGCCTATAAGATCCCCATTTGTTTTTGTATCTTGAGATCTATGACATCATCAAATACTCGAGTTCTACTCGGGTTTTATTATGTTAATGTCGAGTTTAAAAATTATATACTCGTTCAACCCCTAATTGCAACATGACCCTTTAACCTGAGGTCACTGTAAAAATCATTGGATATAAATCTGATTTAGTACCATATACAAGGGTTTCCTGGGTTGTATATATATATATATATATATATATAGTAGATGAACATATATCTGTGATATATTCATAAATTAAACGGATTCTTTCATTTTTCTGGACTGAATAATATCGTGCATTGAATAATTAAATGTAACGTGAGACGTTAATTTTCTTTGACCCATCAAATGAATGCGATCATTTATTAACAGAATCAAAGTTTAACATCAAACATTTACATTAATTTGGCAAAATTGATTACAATAACAGCTTAATTAATTAGCAAGCTTTGCAATTAGGAAACCATACGGCCATGATTTCCCTTGCAACTTTAAATCAGACATTTCTGAAAATATCTGGATGATTACTGGCAAGATAGAAGAGTTTAAAGATGGAAATGAAGTTTAAATGGAGAGGAAAAGATGGATGAGTGAATATGTGTCGGTATCAGACGGCACGCTCCATTTGATCTCAGCTTCCTCCTCGGTACACTTAGGTAGTGTAAATCGACTCTTTACCTGTAGAAGGTGTCTCCACTGGTACGGAGTTCCATTTAACGCACCCTTTCAGCGTCTCCGTAGGAACAGCTGTGAATCGTCCGAAGTAGTGACGGTATTCCGTCCGACACACGTTCACCCCACTGGTGGACTCACAAGAGGAGTAAGTCCGTCAGAGGCTCCACTCAGATGTGGAAGATTCCAAAATTTCCACAAGACTCGGAAGAACTGCGGATCATGTCTGGAACCTCCTGTTCTTCTCCAGCACTTTTTCTGTTCGGTTCTGCTCTCCGAACTGAACTGCTCTCCCACCGCACTGGCTGGAACTAGGAAGTGCCGACATTTAAAGAGTTCTGTTTCCGGTTCATTTGGGAAGTCCTGATTGGCCGAAATAGCTAATCAGGGGTGTGTTTTTGTGACGTAAGAGGTCACTAGAAGTCAGAAAAACAGAACAATGTTTTGGAACAGACTGAAAATGTTTTTGAGACAGACAAGAGAAATGTTTAGGCGAGTTGGGAGAAAACAGGTGCCAGCTTCTCTATTTATGTCTGAGAGGATTTAAAAACATGACAGTTCGTTCCAACAAATTTGTTTGCGTTTGTCTCCGACCTTGGACCAACTTACACTTGCTCATTTCAGACAGAAAATCAGAAAATGCATAATTACTCTGTAACCTATTCTAACTTGATTTCTACTTTGAATGAGGATTAAAAATTCATTAATACTGTTTCACAGTTGATTTAAAATGAGTAGTTCACTTCAACATTTAAAAATAGTTTGAACTAAACACACTTTGATTATCAAGAAAATAGTAATGATAATAAAAAGAGAGTGTTCTTTCAATTGATCAGTGCAGGACACTTAGAAAGTCTCTGGATGAACTTAATCTTGTGTTTCTGGACTCAAATCAATGAAATACAGTTCTTGTCCCAGGAAGGCCCTCAAGGTCAGGAGTTGGGACACTTTTGCTTGCAATGTGAACACAGCCTTAGCTACTACCACAACAAATTTTCGCTCTATATCTGTAAATTTGATAGCATTATTACAGCTCTTCAATTGACTGTAGCTGCACTTAATTAGGAATTGAGTCAGAATAAAAAAAAACCATTTTTGAATTCCCCAAAGAAAGAAAACACTGTTTACAATTTTTGTTTATCTTCTTGTAATTGTCTCATTGACTCAAATGTACAGCAGTTACATCTTAACATTTCACTGAATACACAAACAGGAAAACAATAATATAATATACAAAGTCCGTGTCGAGAAGTGCCATCTCCTTCTATAAATCTATTCACAGATAAGATTTCACAGAGCATCTAACTGACAATAAGACAAATACTGAAACAGAATTAGACAAATAATAATATTAATAATTATAATTTGATTCTCAGTTAATACTACTCAAATACAAAAGGGAGAAGAGAAAAATTTACATTGCAGGTTAGGGTCTCTACAGCATATATGCTATATTTGCATTTTAAATACAGCTTATTCATATTGCTACTTCATTTAATACAGATTTAAAAGTATGATCAAGGATCTATAAAACATTTATATAAAAAGAAGACAAGCTTGTGAATTTATAATATTTTGAACTTGAAGTAGTTCTTTATGGTGGAACGTTCCACAGTTCAAAACAAACTGAACATGATTCTCACATTTCTTATGTCCAGTGTGAGTCCATTGTGTCTACTTTGCATTTTAAGCATCTTCATGAAGCTCCCATGTGAAGTGAATCAGTTTAAACATGAAATTCAAAGAGATAAGTCAGAGGAAACAGACACAGGCAAAGCTACGTTAAAAAAGTTGATGAAAAGGGTTATTTGTATTTATTCATCCATTAATTTAATGCACCTGTTTTTCATATGAGTCATGGGGAGCTGGTGCCTTTCTTCAGCAGTCACTGCGCAACAAGCAGGTACACCCCACAGCTTGTAAGTCCAATACACATACAGAAGAGATAACCACTCACATCTAGGGACAATTTAGAGTTATCAATTAATTTAACATGCATTATTTTGGTCTGTAGAAGAAAACCACTCTGGGATTCCCTGGAGAAATCCATGTGCAGGAAGAACATGCAAAATCCACACTGAAAACCAGTCCTGTGGCCTTTTTAACTGTGAGATGACACTAACTACTCTGACATGCTTTGTCTTTAACCATGAATCTGTCAGATGAAGTACTCATGTCCTACTTGTTCTCAATATTAATGTTATTTGGTTCTCTCACTATAAAATTTGTGAGGAAATCAAAAGCACCAGTTTCTTTTTTTAAATATTAGTGAACATGACTTGCAGGTGTTTAGTAAAACTTCCTTTCTTATCAGGTGATGCAGCTGAGTTTTGTCTCTGGTTCTGTTCATCCTAGCCTCATGCTAGATTTTGAATTTTAAAACTTAACATTTGTTAATAAAACAAAGAGGCAGCAGAATAATAAAATCATTGTTTTTCTACAGAAGGGCAGGGAAAAGTTGTATCAGCAGAGTATGGAACATGGCCATCCATCCATCCATCCATTATCTTTACTCGCTTCTTCCTTTTTGGGTTGCAGGGGTCACTGGTGCCCATATCCAGCAGTCACTGTGCGAGAGGTGGGGAAACCCTGGACAGGTCTCCAGTCCATCACAGGGACACATAGAGACAAACGAGACAAACAACCATTCACTCTCTCACTCACACCTAGAGACAATTTAGAGTTACCAATCAGCTAAACATGCATGTTTTTGGTCTGTGGGACAAAACAGGAGTACACGGAGAAAACTCAAGCATGCACGGAGAGAACATGCAAACTCCACCCAGGAGGGCCCCCAGGACCGGGATTTGAACCAGGGTAACCTGCTCACTGAGAGGCAGCAGCTCTACCAACTGTGCCACCGTGCTGTCCTCCACCCCAAGTCTATTTATTAAAATAATAATGATAAATCAAGCCAAAACAACATGATTTCTTGAACACCATAGAAACATTTACTAAACTTTTACTTTTAGGCTGTATTTAGTCCAACCCAAGAATGATCTATGAGTTCTGGGTTGTTGTCAATACGATCAACATAAAAAGATCTTTTAAACCATTTTTTTTAGAATCCTGAGGACATCTTGTTAACCTAAATAGCACAATTTCAAACTTTTTACTCTGTTTACTTGATTACCAGAAGAAAAAAAAAACATGCTGAATAAATGTAAAGCTTAAAAAACTTTAGAAGGCTGTTTGCTTCCCTCACATATGAAAGGAAGCTGATGTTTGTTTGTACACAGCTGAAACGTGTGTCGGACTAACGAGGCAGCAGCAGCTGCTGTCGCTAAGGTCAGACTGAACCAACAGCGGAGGGAGGAAAGTGTCAGATGGAGCAAGTTTTTTTTTTTTCAATATTCTTTTGTTGTTGTTCATTTTTAAGAAACTAAAACTGGAATCAAGAAATAATGCCTGCTGTCTTTTTGTTGTGCTGGAACTGAGACTACATGTCTTCAAGAAACGGGGGAACAAAAACACATTTGTGCCCCATTTTAGAAAATGGGTTTGCACATGCTCCACTGAGCAGGTGCTGAAAAAAATAAAATAAATTATGTTCATTTAATTTAAGTCAAGAAAGTTGAGAGAAAATTATTTTTGGCATACTTGTAAAATGGAACACTTACTCCCACATAATATTTCTTTGTTTGCCTTTCGGGGCATCAGTAGTTCATTGTTGTGACGCTCAGCAGGAACTTTCAATATGGAGTCTGCTGTTCATCATCTGGGCAAACACTCGTCTGTTTGAAAGTACACAGTGGAGAAGTACTTTTTGTACTTGAAAACAAAAATATCTTAAGACTTTTTAAAGAATGAAGATGGATAGATGGATTGGATGATAATGGATGGGTAAATGGATGAATGGATGGGATAGATAGATAGATGGATAGATGGATAAATCGATAAATGGATAGATAGATGGCTAGATGGATAAATGGATAGATAGATGGATAAATGGATAGATGGATAGATATAGAGATGGATGGATGGAAATCTCTGACATGATCCAAACACTGACAGGTGAGTTCAAAGGTAGTTGTGTTACACCAAAGAGAGATTCACAAACTAAAAAGACCAAGTGTTGCAGGAGAGCGTTGTGAAACTCTTTATATCTGAGAAAATAAAAGTAGGTCTGAACTGAACCATCAGGACTTGTGAGGTTGGCTCTTTTTGCTTAGGAGAGTGTTTGAAAAGGTCTAAATGATCACCTGAATGAGCTTTGTAAAACGTTTGTAGGTCCTATTTGCAGTTAAATTCAGTAGTCGTAGGAGAAATGTACGTGCAGCCCGTTTACAGGATGAACTATGGGCACTGTTTGCATTTTGGGGAAGTTCTTCGTGGCCAGGGTCCATTTGCATGTTCCAATTAGCTCCACCGCCAGAGTTTTAAGGATTATCTGTGCCAGTTCTTTTCCAACGCAGCGCCGCACACCGCCACCAAAGGGCACGTAGCTGAACCGAGATGAGCGGCTTTCATCCCGCTCCGAACCAAACCGGTCTGGGTCAAACAGCTCGGGGCTTTGAAAGACAGGTGTGGTCTCATGTGTGTCCCTGATACTGTACATCACACTCCAGCCTCTGGGGATCTGGTAGCCCTGTGCAAAATCAAAAGAAATCCAATCAGTAATGCAAGGCTTGAATTTAAACAATATAGCTGACATATTTTCTGTGCTCGCACACAGACCAGAAACAGCAGGGGTCAAAGGTCACGTGGAGACACACTGCCTGTTCACCTCCATGCTTGTATTCAGAGCAGAGTCAGGAACCCCACTCAGTACATTTATCCTTTGATTTCTCACAAAATGAGTTTTAGTTTAGGAAAGACAGAACAATGCAGTTCATAAGATGCTCCAAAGCGTTGCTTTATGTGTTTCATTCATTTGGTTTACATCTTAGATTAAACCTTAGATCATTGTATACTGTTTCTTTTGCATTTTATATTTTTGCTATTGATGGATGTAACTGGAATCCTGTGTACACAATTTCGTTCCACCTCATGTACCACATGTGATTTGAATGACAATAAAATTGACTTGAACTTGATTTTCATACAGGTTTTTTTTTTTTTTACTTGTTTTTTTTACACAACAGTTTTACAAATAAATGGAACTTAGTAGTGGCACGTTGCTGTAGTTTGTGGCCATAGCAGTGAGGTCAATTATCTTTTGTTTAATGTTTATTTTGACAATTGTCAGTTAAAATCTTGCATTTCATTCATATTTTCCACTGCATTCTGGTTATATAATTTTTTGTATTATTTTGTGTGTTATTGTGACAAATAAGCTGAACGTGTTCATAAACATTATATCAATGTTCATGTTAAAAACAGAATGGAAACATTTGGAAAAAACCTGGCCAACAAATTTCTTTTTGTGCACATCTGTATCACTTTTAGACAGCTACATAATGGCATATTGAGATGTGTGCTTAAAAATGTAATTGCCTTTGTATGCATGTGAACATGTATACCATGTGATGTCCCACAATACTTAGTTGATTTTTTAGTCATATTGAAAATGTCAGAAGCAACTTTAAAACAATTACATCAAACTGACTAAAATTATGTAAAAATGACTCAACAGTAAATTTACACATCCTCATGTCATGCTCTGTCTGCAGCAGAAATTATCAGTGTGCACTTGTAGTGCTTTTTTGCCTTCGTTTTTTTGTTTCATCTTTTCCGCTGTATGTCAGTGGCATGTTCTTTTGTGTTACTGACATAGATACCACATGATTCATTGTTCACAGTGTTGTGTACATTTTCTAATGTTGGAGTATACAGTATGTGGCAATAAAAGAAGGCCAAGGATGTGGACATGGTGTCGTTTTGGTACTGGTTTCATACTGTCTGGTCACAAAAGTTTCTACTTCTCATTAATTCACAAACAAGGACTTGAAACAAATTGATGTTTGAATTGCTGCTGTGAGTTTAGTTTGGCTTCTTAAACAGAAGATAAACTGTCAGACTGAGCAGAACAACTGATGATGCTGTTTATGAAGATGAATCAGGTATTTCTGACATTTGTGGAAGATTTTATTTATGTAAATTGTAAATGGACTGTACTTATATACGCCTTTCTATCTTATTAAGATACTCAAAGAGCTTTACAACACAACCTGTGTCCTCATTTACCCATTCATACAGCACTTTACTACAAAGTAGATCTCTACAAAGATAATTGAACAAATCAATCTAACCAGTGCTTTATCAAATTCATACACTGATGGGACACACATCAGAGGCAATGAGGGGTTCAGTGTTTTGCCCAGGGACACTTCAGTATGTGACTGTTGGTGGATTTGAACCCCCAACTCTTGTATTGGAGGACAACTGCTCTAACCACTCAGCCACAGCCGCCCATTGTAACCAAATACAATGTAAATGCTCAATAATTGTACTTTGTACATGCTGGCAATGTTAGAGCACTTGAAATAGAAAGCTTTGTGCATTGCATGCCTTATGGCTGCGTTTCTCAGTGTTGTAAATATTTATCACCTAGTGTGTGTGTGTGTTAAAGGATTCACTTTGATCAGTCTCATTCAAGATGTGTTGATGCTGCATTATTTACACTAAAATAAAATGCCATCATTTGTCAAAGAAAAAGCAAACAGATCTTCCTAACAAGGAGTTATACTTACATCAAGTTCAAATGTCTGCAGTGCCACCCTGTAACCACCAGAGACTGGTGGCAGGAAGCGGAGCACCTCCTTGACAATGCAGTCGATGTAATGAAGCTGGCTCAGCTTGTCCAGTGTCAGGTGCGGTACGTGAGACTTGGACCGTGGAAACTCATCGCCAGCATTTTGAGTGCAGCTGTTTAGCAGGTGGGTTGTTTCAGTTTCAGCATCATCCTGCTCTTTATTTATGGTGGAACAAGACCTCTGATTCTGTTGATAGCTAAGGCCCTCAGCCTCAAGCTCCACTCTGGCTCTTTCCACCACCACCGGGTGACGAAGTAGTTGTAAAATCAGCGATGTGGCAGCGCTGGCTGTGGTGGAGTGAGCAGCAAATATGAGCTCCACTGCTGTTTCCTGATAGAAAGAAGACAGAGAGGTGGACTTTTTCATTATAGTTTATCAAAGCTGGTCCTTGAGACCAACTGATTTGTATGTTTAAGATGCTTCAAAACACCTGATTTTAACGATTATAAACATTTTCCAAAAATCATGTTCAGCAGAAACCTATTAGACAGGACCCTGGATGACAACCCCTTTATTATTTCCACAATTTACACAACCTATTCCAACTTGGCAGGATCAAAGCCAGCTTGGAAAACCTTAATCAATGTAAAAATTATCTGAGGAGAAATCCCAAGTAATCTTCATACTTTCCCAAAAGGTTTTTCCAGCTTATATACCTCTTTCTGTAGGTACTGCCCTATGTCCTAATCATGCTATATATGCCAACCCTGATAGGACTGTCTTGAACGGCATCAAGATGCAACTGTTCACTGGAGGATTATGTCACAATACTGCCATGAGTGTCACGCCTGCTCCAGATTGTTTCTGAATTTCTTATGGTTGTAGTCTAAAATTTAGGTCAGCATGACAAGTCGTGCTTCCAATCCTAAACAGTCAATCCATGCTACTCTATACTGTCACTATGTGTGAATGGGAGTGTGAATAGTTGTCTTTCTTGTTATTTCAGAGGACTGTTTCTTTCTCAGTTCAAAGAACAGGGAGTGTGGGGTTCGAGTCATAAACCTGAGGTGTTCGGTAAGCTAGAATCGCATGCAGATTGTCCTTTCACTCCTCACAATACAGGTTCATTGTGGAACTGTGGATGAATGGATGGATGGATGGATGGATGGATGGATGGATGGATGGATGGATGGATGGATGGATGGATGGATGGATGGATGGATGGATGGATCATACATTTGTCACGTCTAGACTAGAGTATTGCAATGGTTTATTATCTGGGTGTCCAAATACTTCTTTAAAAAGTCTTTAGTTGATGCTGCTGCCAGAGTCTTAACTGGGGTTAGTAGGAGAGATCATATATCTCCAGTTTTAGCTTCTCTCCATTGGCTCCCTGTCGAATTCAATTCAATTCAGTTTATTTATATAGTGCCAAGTCACAACACATGTCATCTCAGGGGACTGAACAGAAATATTAATATAGATGAAAAGTAAGTTAATAACATTATCTGAGGAGCAGACTGCTTTGAATTTAACTTCATCACAGATTCTCATCTTGAGCAAGCACGAAGGTGACAGTGGAAAGGAAAAACTCCCTCATGAGGAAGAAAGATTTAGCAGAACCAGACTCAGGACAAGCGGCCATCTGCTTCAACCGGCTGGGTTTGAGAGGAACAGGAAGAAGGAACAGATGGATGAAAAACAAGCCGTTAACTTCTGTAGTCAACAATATTCAAAACAAATGCCACAGCTCATCAACCACAGCAAAGACAAAATATCTATACTGGAGTCAATTTTACAAATATTTAAATGAAATTTGAGACATTGCCAACACAGACTTTAAGCATTAAAAAAGTGTGATTTTTTTTTTTGTTTAAAACACTGATATTGAGTTTAGTACCTTGATCTCCTGGATGCTGAGCTTCTGGCCGTGCTCCTTGGCACTGGACAGTATGTAATCAAAAGCATCATGATATTCATCTTCCACCTGCTGCCGTGCCAGTTTTTCCTCTATGATCCTCTCCATGTTAGCATGCAAAATTTCTCTGGCTCTTATCCCCTGGACAAAAGAATAAGCACACTGTTTGTCCCAATGCTTTGGTATCAATGTAGCAGTGATGAACCTTCAGATTTTCATCATCTTCAGAGAAGGCCTAAGGATTCAGCACATATGAAATGTTACATTTAAATATTTAAATATAATTGTCAATGTCGTTTTTCTGCAAATTTCTCCTATTTTCTATAAACAAATTTATGAAAAAAATAGTTATCCAATCAGATTCATTTTAAAATCCCTAGTCAGAATTATCACTGTGAAAATTACTGTGGAAAAATGTCACTGTGAAATAAATCACTGTAATGCCACTTGATTGTTGATATGTGCTGCTGACTATCCATGATGCTGATCTCATGCTGCTGATCTGTTTCTTGTTCCTGTGTTCATTCGTACTCATCTGCTCACACAGACTCATGTTTGTGCTGCTGTTGTTTGGCGCATTGTTTTGTACTATTAGTGCTTAGTATAGTCTTATTTCATATTTTAGATCTTTTTACTGTTTTTTTTTTTTACAATTTGTATTTTTGTTGGATGTAACTGGGACCCTGTGTACATAGTTTCATTCCACCTCATGTACCACATGTGGTGTGAATGACAATAAAAAAAAACTTGACCTTGATCCTTGACTTTTGTGTTTCCAGGCAGAAACTTATTTGAAGGAGCTTTCTCATTGGTTATGACTTTACTCTCAAAAGAAAACTTTAGCTCAGTCAGAGATAGTCCTGGATGAGTTTGATCAGTACCTGACATGAAAATAACCAATCAAAATGTTGATGTAGGGTGGATGGGACCACAACATGCAGGTAAGGCCTGCAGGAATCCTCTAACAGCATTAACTGGCAGTCCTGGTGGAGTGGGACATGAAGGTTGTAGATATCTTGTTGCCTTTTTCAATGTGATCTTTTGCAGATGATATAATGATATTTCAAACAGGAAGACCAACTCCAGCAGTGGCACTGACAAAAGATAAAATGTGGTGAAAGATATTTTGAAACTGACCTTTATCAACCTTACTTGTGGATGACTTATTTTCTGCTAGTCTTTTTTATTTATTTTGGGGCAGCTGAAAATGTATAAACCAGGGCTTAATGTGTGTCGGATCCTGTCGGAACAATATCCAGGAACTCTCTTGTTTTGACAGAATGCGTTCCGGCAACGGTTTGCTTGGATCCAGCAACTCTCAGGCTTACTAATAATAAAGTTATGAACAAATATGATTGGCTTGAACAAATAAAACTTATATGTAAACTGATTTGGGGAGCGGGCAGCACGGTGGCACAACTGGTAGAGCTGCTGCCTCTCAGTTAGCAGGTCCCTGGTTAAAATTGTTTGTCTCTGTGTCCCTTTGATGGACTTGCGTCCCGTCCAGGGTGTACCCCGCCCCTCGCACAGTGATTGCTGGACATGGGCACCAGCGACACTCGTGACCCAAAATGGAATAAGGGGGTAAAAGATAATGGATGGATGGATTTGGGGAGCATGCTTGAACCGTGTCGCTCCGCTCTGCTGCTGAGACAATAAATAAATAACAGACACCTCGGCAGCTGTTTTTGTGATGCTCTGGACACTTGTCACTCACAGCACGCATGCAACAAAGAGTATAAACTCAAAGCAAAATGATACCTGCCCCCTCTTTTCCTCTTTCACGTTGACAAAATTATTTAGTTTTATCCATGAGTTTGTCAAAGCTCAATTTTGTTGTGTTTTTTTTGTTTTGTTTTGTTTTGTTTTAAAGACAGAAGTATAGTATTGTTTAATAAATGTTAGGACTCCATTATTTGCTAACAAATATATTCACCTCCTCAGTCAGCTTCTGTTTTTATGATGCTCTGGACACTTGTCACCCACAACACACATGCAGCAAAGAGTATAAACTGAGGCCCTGTTTACACGACAATGATCCAATTAATGCTTTTTCCCCCCCCCCATTTCTTTTAACACATTTACATGAAAATGTTCTAATTACAATCTCTGTTTACACAACAATGGTAGACGTGGAAAAGGTGCAATTCCCATGCCATGCCAGTAGGGGTTGAATAGACTAATCGACTAGTCAATTCTAGGACATCCTGCGAGTTTTTATATTTCTCATCGACTAGTCGCAGTCGGTGGGTGCGTCATGTGTCACATGATCAGCACCAGCCCGCTACAAAATGGATTTTTCCAAGCAGATGGAAGGTGAGGAGCAAGCAAAGTCTTCCCAAACATGTAGAAAGTCATCAACAGTGTGGATGTAGTTCAATTAAAAAAATGTTGTTTTCAGTTTTATTATGCCGCCCACTGTTTTTAGTTTCATTTTATTTAATACACTAAATGAAATAAAAATAAAAACAGGGGTGCGCTCCACCAGTGAATCCACCACCGTGCACCCCACTGTGTGTGTATTAGTTGCTGTACACACTGCCAGTGTGCACCACGCTCCACTGCCTGTGGATAGTATTTATTTTATTTAATCCACTAAATAAAATAAAAACAGGGGTGCGCGCCACCGGAGAATCCACCACCTCTGCGGTGGTTTATTTTATTTAGTGGATTAAATAAAATAAAACTAAACCAGCCTCTAGGGAGCACAAGCCAGTGTATCTCTTGTGCCAGTCCCAAGCCTGGGTAAATGGTGAGGGTTGTGTCAGGAATGGCATCCAATGTAACACACTTTTGCCAAAACCATAATGCGAGTTCATCAAAGTGAAACCATACCGGATCAGTCGAGGCCCGGGTTAACAACGACCGCCACCGGTGCTGTTGACAAACAGGATGCCAGCAGAAATTGTGCTACTGTTAGTCGAAGACCACAAGGAGGGAAACGTGTCAGGAGACAGAGGGAGAAGAGGAAAGTGAAGAATGTAGGACTGAGGGTTGCAACTCTAAATGTGGGGACAATGACAGGCAAAGGTAGAGAGCTGGCTGACATGATTCAGATAAGAAAGGTAGATGTTTTATGTGTCCAAGAGACCAAGTGAAAGGGCAGCAAGGCTTGCAGCATTGGAGCAGGGTTCAAGCTGTTTTACGATGGGGTGGATAGAAAGAGTCCTGAAGGAGGAGTTGGCAAAGAATGTAGTATAGGTGAAGACAGTGTCAGATAGGGTGATGTGTCTGAAGGTAGAAGTAGAATGTCTGATGCTAAACATAGTCAGTATATGCTTCACAGGTTGGACGTGATGAGGAGGAGAAAGATACATTTTGGAAAGATCTAGATGAAGTGATAGAGAGTATTCCCAGGGAGGAAAGAGTGATGACCGGAGCAGACCTGAATGGACATGTTGGTGAAAGAAACAGAGGGGATGAGGAAGTGATGGGTAGGTTTGGTGTCAAGGAAAGAAACCAGGTAGGACAGATGGTGGTGGATTTTGCCAAGAGAATTGAAATGGCTATAGTCAATACCTATTTCCAAAAGAGGGAGGAACATAAAGTGACCTATAAGAGTGGAGGAAGGAGTACGCAGGTCGACTACATTCTGTGTAGAAAAGGAAACCTGAGGGAGATTGGAGACTGTAAGGTTGTGGCAGGGGAGAGCGTAGCCAGACAGCACTGAATGGTTGTGTGTAGAATGACTGTTGTTGTGAAGATGAGAAAAAGAGTAAAATCAGAGAAGACAACCAAATGGTGGAAGCTGAAGAAGGAAGAATGTTGTAAGAAATTCAGAGAGGAGCTGTTAAAGGCTCTGGATGGTAAGAAAGAGCTTCCAAATGACTGGGCTACTACAACAACAGTAATTAGAGAGACAGGTAGGAAGGTACTTAGTGTGTCATCTGGACAGAGAATGGATGATAAGGAAACCTGGTGGTGGAATACTGAAGTGCAGGACACCATTCAAAGTAAGAGATTAGCCAAGAAGAAATATGACAGTGAGAGGAGACAGGAATATAAGGAGATGGGACATAGAGCAAATAGGGAGGTAGCTGAGGTAAAGCTGAAGGCGTATTATGAGTTGTATGGGAGGCTGGGCACTAAAGAGGGCAAGAAGGACTTGTACCGATTGGCAAGACAGAGGGATCAGGCTGGAAACGAAGTGCAGCAGGTTAGGCTTATTAAACATAGGAATTGTAATGTTCTAACAAGTGAGGAGAGTGTGATGGAATGATGGAAGGAGTACTTTGGAGCTAATGAATGAAGAGAATGAAAGAGAAAGAAAAATAGAGGTCATAGAAACTGTGGACCAGGAAGTGGGAAAGATTAGTGAGGGTGAAGTCCGGAAAGCTCTGAAAAGAATGAAGAAGGGGAAGGCAGTAGGACCTGATGACATACCAGTGGAGGTTTGGAACTGTCTTGGAGAGATGGCAGTGAGGTTTTTGACTCAAATATTCAATGACATATATGAGGGTGAGAAAATGCCTCAGAAATGGAGAAGAAGTGTGCTGGTGCCCATTTTTAAGAATAAGGGTGATGTACAGAGTTGTAGCAACTACAGGGGAATTAAGTTGATGAGCCACACAATGAAGATCTGGGAGAGAGTTGTGGAAGCTAGACTTAGACGAGAGGTGACTATCTGTGAGCAGCAGTATGGTTTCATGCCAAGAAACAGCACCACAGATGCCATCTTTGCTTTGGGGATGCTGATGGAGAAGTACAGAGAGGGTCAGAAAGAACTCCATTGTGTCTTTGTGAATTTTAAAAAAGCATATGACAGAGTGCCAAGAGAGGAGGTGTGGTAGGGCATGAGGAAATCTGGAGTGGCAGAAAACAGACTGGTACAGGACATGTATGAGGACAGCAGGACAGTGATGAGATGTGCTGTAGGAGTGACATATAACTTCAAGGTGGAGGTGGGATTGCATCAAGGATCGGCTCTGAGCCCCTTCTTGTTTGCTCTGGTGATGGATCGACTAACAGATGAGGTCAGGCAAGAATCCCCATGGACGATGATGTTTGCAGATGACATTGTGATCTGTGGTGAGAACAGGGAACAGGTGGAAGAGAACTTGGAGAGGTGGAGGTATGCACTTGAAAGAAGAGGAATGAAAGTCAGCTGTAGTAAGACAGAGTACATGTGTGTAAATGAAAGGGAGGCTGGTGGAACAGTGAGGCTACAAGGAGCAGAGGTCACAAAGATGAAGGACTTCAAGTACTTGAGGTGACTGTCCAGGAAAATGGGGAATGTGGTAAATAAGTGAAAAAGAGATTCCAGGCAGGAAGGAGTGGATGGAGAAAAGTTTCAGGAGTGATTTGTGACAAAAAGGTGTCAGCAAAGGTCAAAGGAAAAGTTTACAAGACAGTGGTGAGACCAGCTATATTGTATGGTCTGGAGACAGTGGCACTGACAAAAAGACAGGAGAAAGAACTGGAAGTGGCAGAAATGAAGATGCTAAGGTTCTCCTTAGGAGTGACAAGGCTGGATAAGATTAGGAATGATGTCATCAGAGGTACAGCACAGGTTGAACAACTGGGAGTTAAAGTTAGAGGCCAGACTGAGATGGTTTGGACAAGTCAAGAGGAGAGACAGTGGGTATATTGGTAGAAGGATGTTAGAAATGCAGCTGCCAGGAAAAAGACAAAGAGGAGATATATGGATGCAGTTAGAGAGGACATGGAGGTAGATGGAGTGAGGACAGAGGATGCAGAGGACAGAGTGAGGTGGAGGAGGATGACACGCTGTGGAGACCCCTGAAGAGGGGAAAAACCGAAAGAAGAAGAAATAAACTAAAACTAACTTTTGATGCCTAATAATAATTTTGGTTTTCCTGTTACTTATTTGCAATATGATAAATGGTAGGAGCATAAATATACGCTCTCGATGTTTTTTTTTTTTTTTGCAAATAAATAATTTTTAGCGTCTTGAGTTCCTATGACGGGCAGCACGGTGGCGCAACTGGTAGAGCTGCTGCCTCTCAGCGAGCAGGTCCTTGGTTCAAACCCCGGTCCAGGGGCCTTTCTGGGTGGAGTTTGCATGTTCTCTCCGTGCATGCGTGGGTTTTCTCCGGGTACTCCGGTTTCCTCCCACAGTCCAAAAACATGCATGTTAGGCTGATTGGTAACTCTAAATTGTCCCTAGGTGTGAGTGAGAGAGTGAATGGTTGTTTGTCTCGTTTGTTTCTATGTGGCCCTGTGATGGACTTGCGACCCGTCCAGGGTGTACCCCGCCCCTCGCACAGTGATTGCTGGACATGGGCACCAGCGACCCCCGTGACCCAAAATGGAATAAGCGGGTAAAGAAAATGGATGGATGGATGGAGTTCCTATGACATCATCAACTATTCGACTCGACTATTATCATGTTAATGTCGACTTTAAAAAATATGTAGTCGTTCAACCCCTACAAAAGATCTACCTGAAAATCACTACAATGGTCGAGATGGCAGAGAATAAAATATTTCTATGGACAGACGACAAGGTTCAACTGTTGCTTAGGGTGACTTTGAATTATAAAACCACCAAATTTCAAGAGAACATTGACTGGGAATCATGCCAGTTCATTGTCGATAGTTTCTTCATCTGTGGATTGTAGGAAGCCGTTATGTTTTGCCTCATACTGCGCATGAGCCAGGGATTCCCTGACTGAAAATATTATTATTTTCTGTTTACACAACAATGGACACTTTGAACTATTGCACTCTGGAACCCGTTCTCAAATTGTGCCATTGTCAGAGAAAACATTCACTATTTTATTGTAAATGAACTGTACAAAAGCAACAAAACTCTTCCATTTTCACCAGAAATAGTTTTCGTGTAAACAGGGCCTCAAAGCAAGAGTGATACCTGCCCCTCTTTTCTTCTTTCGTATTGACAATTTTTTTTAGTTTTATCGATGAGTTTGTCAAAGCACAATTTTAACGTGTTTTTTTTTTTTTATATATATAAGTAATGTTTAATAAATGTTAGGACTCTGTTCTTTGCTAACAAAATATATTGTCATTAAACAACTTGTCAGGTTCTTGTCTTGTGAGCATGCGTGTTCCCTAGAACACCCCCACTCCCCCACCCACCAGATCACCTGCCCACTATTTGCGTTCCGGCATCGATCAGTTTACAAATTAAGCCCTGGTATTAGCTGTTTGGTTGGTGCTGCCTTTTCTTTGCACCACATTAAGATTTCATTTGCAAACTGTAAATGTGAACAGTCACACTGAAACTTTATATTCTATAAAATTAAGGTTAAATATCCCATTTAGGTTTACAGTAGTCCCTCGTTTATCATGCGGGATCCATACCCTGAAGGTCCGCGATGAGTGAAAACCGCGAAGTAGGAATAGTGGTACAAGTAGTAAGTAGTAGTTTATGTTATGGTATATATATATATATATATATATATAATTTATATATATAATTTATATATATAATATATATATATATATAATTTATATATATATATATATTTTTTTTTTATTATTTTTTTTTTTTTTTATTTAGCCTTTATTTATCCAGGTTAGTCTCATTGAGCCACGGGAACTCATTTTCAAGAGAGACCTGTTTAGGGAGCACATGGTGGGGTTAAGGGCCTTGCTCATGGGCCCAGAGTGGGGCGAATGAGGGTGGGGGCAAGTGTGGGTGTTTCACCTACCCCACCCACAATTTTGATGTTGTCGGGGTCGGGGCGTGAACCGGCGATCTTCGGATCACAAGCCCACCTCTCTAACCTCTGCGCCACCACTCCCCCAATATATATATGTATGTATATATATATGGCGTTTTAAACCCTTCCCACATTCTTGCAATATTCTAAACAAAGTTTTTAAACTCTAAATGCTCTAAAAGAGCACAGAATGTAATGATTTCAGCTCTCTGCCTCCTCTTCTCTTTGCCACCTGCAAGCACTCTTGGCCACGCCAACTTCTCCGCTCTGCACGCTGCACATTTGATCAGCTGTTCAGCTGCAGCAGGAAGTTTATCCTGCAGCAGTAAGGGCTACACAATGGTGCAGGAGAAAGCTTTTTCTGCTGCTCTGGGCTGCACAAATGTACATTATTTAAATGATTTAAAATAATTTATTTTAAATTTTAAAAAATCCATGCAGATTGTGCAGCTCATCCATCACTCAGCCAATTGTGTGTCCCGTCCAATCTTATTTTGAAAAACCACGATAGAGCGAATCCGCGTTAACCAAACCGTGAAGTAGCGAGGGACTACTGTACATGAATAATTTTTATCATTACCATTATATTTTGTTTTCTTTACATGATGACATACAGATCGCCACTGCATTATAATATAAATGATGGAGTATGTGGAGCACATTTCGTACCTTTCGCAGCCCGCTCAGTGGTGCATCGATGGGGAGTGAGAACAGATTATTCATGAGCTGTTCAAAGATCTCAGCCAGGTAAAGGATCCGCTCTTCCTCCAGCTGCAGATTTAGCAGGACGCTGATGGCAATGCGGAATGTCAAGGACTTAGCTGAGCTGTACACGTCCACAGCGCCCGGCTCCAAGCACCACTTGGCAACTTCAGACTTGATGAGGTCCTGCAGTCGGGGCAGGTAGGACTCCAGAGCCTCCCGGCTAAACACTTTGGCCAGGATCTTAACGATGGATCAGAAAACAAAGCACGAGAAGTTAGTGCCTGGCAGCCAGATTAAAGCAGGGTGGATTGATGTTGCTTGAGTTTGTTACTTTTCTCTTCTTTTTGTGCACGTCTCCAACAGAGTTGACCAGGGTGTTGGGTCCCAGGATGATGCGGGTGCTCAGGGGCCACTGGGTGCACACAAGGCTGTGCTCCCCCAGCAGGATCTTCCTGATATTTTCTGCTCCAGTGACCCGGATGACGGGTTTTCCCAGGAGGTGAGTCTTAAACACGTTTCCATGACGCTCTCGACGTGAGATGTGGAAGTTGGAACCCTTTGGAGGGATTTAAAAAAAAAAAAAAGGATAAGTAAAATATAAAGCTGAAAAGTGGTGCTTGTGTATGTCTTCACCCCCTTTGCGCTGAAAACATTCAGAAGCAACACACAGTTAATCTACACAGCTGAGATGTAAAGAACTACACATCAAAGTTAAAACATAATAAAGCCTTAACAGAGTCCCATTAAAATACATGTTCAGATCAATAACTACATCTTGAAGGAAATCATATCAACGGAAGGTTCGACATAAGCTCTTATGTTGAGAAATGATGCAGGTCACATGAAATGTTTCGCAGTATTGTAAAATGTTGCATGATCTGAGTTTACCCCACATCAGATGAATTTTTGTATAAGTGACTGAGTTGCAGTCATTTTGTGTTTGAGGAAATAAATGAGCTATGGCGACTGGAGTGCAGGTACTCAGTTCTAGATACATTCATTCACTAGTGTATGAAACATTTTGCTAACAAACAGACAAACACGTGCACTCAAAGGCAATCACCAGCTTCATATGGGGGTGAGTGAATAAAATAAAAAATAATGGCACCACAGCAAACCAGCCGAGAGAAGGTCCTACACGCCCAAACTCCCCAGAACAGGTGAGATAATTAATCAGAGAAAGGCCCAAACGTGTCGGTCCAGGATGATGAAGCTGATGGCTCCTCTGAGCAGAAGAATCTGTCCATATCAAGCTGAACAGAGCTGGGCTTTATCCAAGAGCGGACAGAAAAAACATGGTGAACAAGGAGAGAAATGATGGACTGAATGCTGAAAAAATCCTCCAAAAAGTGAAAAAAAAAAAAAAATAAATCTGACTATGAAGGACAACATCTGTGGTCCAACAGCTCTGAGAGAACACACACTGAATACTTCATGTATCCAAAGTTTATTTTTTTTTATTTGTTTAGCAAAAAAAAGGTTAAATTGTGTCATCTGTTTCTTTAAGTGAGAAACATTCCGTCCCCCATCCTGATGACTTCTTCAGTCTACCACCTGCCAACCAGATCTGTCCCATTTAACCTTTTTTGTTGATCTTGGATGATTGAGCTAACAACCCTATTTCTTTTTTTTTTATATGAATATAATTTTTGTTCTTTAAAATGCTTTCATTGTATGAGTGGAAAAAGTTTGTACTTGTCATTGTTTTCTGACATATTTGTAGTTTTTGATCTTTCTGAGGTTTTGGTGCAAATCACTTGTAAAAATAAATAAATAAATAAATGACATAACTTCTCACAGCCCTGGAGCAGACTTTAAACACACTATTCTCTTCAGAATAAAAATGGTTCTTTAATGTTTTGTCCGAAACTCCTTCCCAACTTTAATAAAGAAATGCACTGCTCCCAGGATGGGAAATGTTTGAGTCTTTAGAAAAAAAAGAAACTTTAGAGGAAAAAAACTCAAAACATGTTTATGTCCTTTTTTATGAGGGAATTTAAAGTTTTTGTTTAAAGACAAACTGGACAGCTGGAAGGAGATGAGAGAAGGATGGAGGGGTTTCTGAATGAAGAAGAAGGATGAGAGCAGAACCAGAAGCTTCTCCTCCTCCAGAACTTTTATATAAAAAAATACATGTTTAAACTTTTAAAATGTTACAAGAGTTCTTGTTCTGACCTGGAGAAGCCAGTGGAAGGTCTCCCCGACCAGCGGCCAGCCCATGGATCCGTTCGGCAGCGGCAGCTTGCAGTCCTTGTCCCGGGTCAGGGTCCAGCGGAGACTCCACAGCTGCCGGGTCAGAACCAGCAGCACGAGCGACGTGAGCGCGGCGGCCAGAGCCGACAGCACCCCGAACTGGGCCAGGGGGAACATCTCCTGGTCCTGTCCTCAGCATCCACCTGCGCGTTCAGCTTCTCCCGCCTTCTGTTATTATTATTATTATTATTATTATTATTATTATTATTATTATTATT